TTTATCTTATTATCTTCTTTTATCTTATTTATCTTGTTTTATCTTATTTTATCTTATTGTATCTTATTTTATCTTATTTTATCTTTATAATGCCTCAGCAAGACGTAATGCCCCAAAAATGCCCTAGTAATGCCCGGTAATGCCGCAAATCTGTACACCACAATGCCCTCAGCGGTTTCCCCCTCGAATCACCCCATATAAATTTTGCGAACCATCTTTCGCAAGTTGGAATTAACATTGTTCTCTCCAAACACATCGCAAATGTCTTTCGCAGTATTCAAAATGCGTGTTCCTCTCCGAAACTCGTACATCATAATTACACGCAAATGGATTCTATCAATATTCATTTTCAATTTTATTTTAGAGCAACTAAACTGACTGAAATCAAACCAATTCCCATTTGTAATGATAGCTAGAAGTATAACCTTTAAAACGGTATACATATAATACATTTACATATTTGTAAGCGCTGCCATAAAACTGGATCAGTTAAGGTGATTGTACTCTAAATTAAAAGTCTCAAAAATCTTCTGAAAAAAAATTCAAATATTGTAACATGTCTGTGTTAAATCTCAAGTCGATCTACCGTACAGATTCTGAGATATAGCCGTTTAAACTTTACGATATTTATTGTAGTATCATTTAACATTACAGTAATGGCGGCGGCGAACAAAACCTCACGAGTGAGCAACGAATTTTGCTCTAGCAATTGAATTAGTCTCAAAACATGCACAAAAATCTGAGAAAAATTAGTTCAAACACTTTTGAAGCATGTATATTAATTTGAAAAACTTTGACCATACATTAGTGATATAATATTAGTGATGTAACCTGCGGAAGTAATTTTAATCCAAAGTTTTGAGTTTCGCAAAATTTTTCGAGGTCCAAATAAGCTTGGCATGCGTGGCAACGTCGCACATTATAAAGTCAGATTAGACTATGTTACATGGCGCGGTATCGCCAATTACACTTCATGTTTTTTCCCAAAATGCTCAAATCAACGTTGCGCCTTCCAACGCATAGGTTAAACACATCTCGTCTGTCACTAAAAATGTGGTTACGCTTTTCTTGTCACCTTCTAACCGTAGCTGTTCTGCATTTTTCTTTCTCCAATAATTGTTTTTTGCTAATAAATCTATCTTTATTTCGTAAAGGAAGATTTCCTTCGCTCGATATTTTTTAATCTCTCTCGCTCTCACTCTAACTGAAAGGCGACGTTGTCACAATCACGAGATACGGTAGTATCTCGCGTCAAGTATAAGCGTAGCTTGACCGCGCGCGCGAAACCGACCGTGTAGTTTACGCGAGTACTCAAGTTGACGGACCCTCAGATTTTCGGATCTCAACAACGGCTGATCTGACGACATTCGAAGTGCGCTCAATCGATAGCTTGGGTTCGATTTGCATAATAAAAGTGTTTTTATTTTTCTCCTACGTGCCCCACGAGTAAAGATACTGCAATGCAAAGTACAATGTAGGTAATTTTCATGTTCTGTAAT